TATATCAAGTTGTATTTTCTTATGTCATTAGGAAAACAAAATTTGGAGATTTAAATCCAAGAATCATTCATGCATTCTAAGTCAATAGTTAATGGTTCATATTTTCATAAAGTTGAATTTTGAATTTTGCGACTGAAAATCCACATTGGATTTTTCAATAGAAAGGTAAGAGAAAGTTTTGAACATTATGAATTTTGAGATAGAATCAATCAAAATTGAAAGAATGAATCAAACCCAATCAAAAGGGAAGAAGGATTAGGATTTCCTTGACTTTTAGGAACAAGTCAGGAAAACAAAACTAGAGGTGCAAGTACAATAAAAAGCAGTTTAGTAATCTGAGAAAGTTTTTATCTATTTTGTATTTGTAGCATTTTGGCGACATGGACAAGTGGTAAGGCAGAGGAATGAAAATCCTTTTTTCCCTAGTTCAAATACGGATGTCGCCTGATCAACAAAAAACTAGAAATCTCTTCTTTTCTTCTGTTGATATAACTCACTGAATGATTCCCAGCAGAAGCAGAGAAAGCAGACTGTTGATACTTGTTTGATTTTAAACATCTGATCTGGGGGTTTTTCTAAAATATTGTAAATATGCTTGCATTGAATATTTAGGTTAGGCTTCAATGAAATATTCGAATGCTACAGGGGCTATCAACACTTCGCAACTACCTTCTACCTACTACAAATCAAAATATTAGATTATTAATGCATTGTATAATGACTGGACCTTGAATTAGATTAGAGCGCCTGATAGGAAATCTAAATAGTTGTGGAAGGGTGCGGAATATACTTTATTATATACTAGGAACTCACGAAAATCTCTGAGTGCTCAAGCATCCAATCAATTGAAATGAGGGTCAACAAAAAAAGAATAGGACCTATTATTTCTACATGTTCCATTAGTAACATTCCCTTGAGATGTTATTGCAGATTTTGCTTGTATTTAAGCATTCCCTATTAGAAATCATATAGAAATTTCTTCTAAAATGAGCGAATTTATTGGATTGGTTTATTAATAGTCTTCATTCTTTTTGACTCTGTGTCATTGATTCCACTATTATTAGTGAGGAATAATGGAGCAATTCCTTTATATTTATAGAGATAGGGGACATAATTTATATGGATATAGTAAGTCTTGCTTGGGCTGCTTTAATGGTAGTCTTTATTGTTTCCCTTTCACTCGTAGTGTGGGGAAGGAGTGGACTCTAGGGGTCCTACTAANTAATGGTAGTCTTTACTTTTTCCCTTTCACTCGTAGTGTGGGGAAGGAGTGGACTCTAGGGGTCCTACTAATTGAGTTAAGGAAGCAAACTGTATCAATATCAATTGCTTTCTAGATCATTCTGCAACACGTTTTGAACAAAATAAAAATATCTTCATTTTTAAATTCAATTGGACTCTACTAGAGTAATGTTTTATAGGAATCTCCTCTTTCAATCAAAGAACTATTTCAACGATTCCCGTGTTTGTAGTTCAAAAGGAAGAGGATCCCAGGAAATTTATTCAAAACTAATTCTTCCTAAATTTTCTATTCCAATCAACGGCCTCTTACTAGGTGATACTAAGGAGGGCTCGGCCCTTTTTTTATTTGTTTCTCTCTTTACTGTTCAAAGAAGAAGTGGTTTTGTTAAGTTTACATGCACTTTGTATGAGAAATAAAGGATATAAACATAGTGGTTGTATAACGAGATACTATCCAGAATAAGATCGTCAGGTGATTCACTGCGCATTTACCACTTTCAAAATTTTTGAAATTGGATTTATACTTTATCAACTTATTTCATATCGTTGTTCAGGCGTTAAAAATCAGTGAGGTTTACTCTTCCTTTTCAATGCCCGTGGAACTACTGTCATGGTTTACTTAATTACTTCTTGGGAATGTTAAAAAAAACAAGATTACAACGTGATTTTTTTAATATTCCTATATCTGTATCTTTTCCTTAATTGATTTGATTCTTTCAATAGATACCGAAATTCATATTGGAAATCAAAAATATAGTAATTCAAACTATAAGACATAAGTGTAATTCAAATTGATTAGAACAAATAGATATAGCAAATAAATGGAATTGGATGCTTTGTAAATCCCATATATGAAATTGATATTCACATATATCAAGATAATATTTTAGATTGATCTATAGATCCA